ATTATACATGGAGATCATATCCCCCTTATGTATTATACATGGAGATCATATTCCCCCCTTATGTATTATACATGGAGATCATATCCCCCCTTATGTATTATACATGGAGATCATATCCCTCCTTATGTATTATACATGGTGATCATATCCCCCCTTATGTATTATACATGGAGATCATATCCCCCCTTATGTATTATACATGGAACTCATATCCCCCCTTATGTATTATACATGGAGATCATATCCCCCCCTTATGTATTATACATAGTGATCATATCCCCCCCTTATGTATTATATATGGTGATCATATCCCCCCTTATGTATTATACATGGAGATCATATCCCCCCTTATGTATTATACATGGAGATCATATCCCCCCTTATGTATTATACATGGAGATCATATCCCCCCTTATGTATTATACATGGTGATCATATCCCCCCTTATGTATTATACATGGAGATCATATCCCCCCCTTATGTATTATACATGGAGATCATATCCCCCTTTATGTATTATACATGGAGATCATATCCCCCTTATGTATTATACATGGAGATCATATCCCCCCTTATGTATTATACATGGAGATCATATCCCCCCCTTATGTATTATACATGGAGATCATATCCCCCCTTATGTATTATACATGGAGATCATATCCCCCCCTTATGTATTATACATGGAGATCATATCCCCCCCTTATGTATTATACATGGAGATCATATCCCCCCTTATGTATTATACATGGAGATCATATCCCCCCTTATGTATTATACATGGAGATCATATCCCCCTTATGTAATATACATGGTGATCATATCCCCCTTATGTATTATACATGGTGGTCATATCCCCCTTATGTATTATACATGGAGATCATATCCCCCCTTAATTTCCTCTTCTCAAGAGATAATATATTCAGTTACTCTAATCTTTCCTCATAGCTGAGCTCCTCCATGCCTCTCTTATCAGTTTGGTTGCCCTTCTCTCTACCTTCTCCAGTTCCCCAATGTTCTTTTTGTGAATTGGTGCCCAAAACTGAACTGCATATTCCAGATGAGGTCTTACTAATGATTTGTACCTGGGAGGGGGAAAATGATATCTCTCTCTCTGGAGTCTATACCTCTTTTAATACAAGAGAGGATTTTGCTCACTTTAGAATCCGCAGCTTGGAATTGCATGCCATTATTAAGCTTGTGATCTACCAGAATCCCCAGATCCTTCTCCACCATTGATCCCCCCAGATCCTTCTCCACCATTGATTAATTGGTTTTCAATGTATTCCTATTTGATGTGCTGGATTGCATTCTCTGCTTTGCAGGGAACAACAATCCAGCACATCGCCAGTGCCAGGACACATCTCTGCCTTGTTTACATAGGCAGAGCTGTGTCCTGTCACTCTGCTCAATGAGACAATGACCAATGGGTGCCAAAACTCATCCATTGGCCGGCATCTGTTGATCGGCTTCTGCTGTGTCAAAGATCCATCAGGACTCCAATTTTGGGGAGTAGAAAGATACAAACCACATTGGAGGGGTAGTAAATAAGATCAGGACCCTCAGTCAGAAAGAATCTAAATGGATTTTCCATTTACAAACGTTGGTCCCCCAAGGGTTGAACGTGGATTTTGATATCAATTGCTTCATAGAGAATTTTTAATAAACTGTGTGTCATATTGGATTCTCATCAGGCATTGTATGGGGATTAATTATACGGAGTATATATGTCTCACATATAGTATATATGTTCCAAAGCAGCTATATATACTCAATGTATAGATGGCTCGAATAATATACCAATTTAATGTAATAATTAATCAGTTTATTTATTCTTCATATTGTGGTATAACTGTATTAGCTTCTCTACTGCAGGGGGTATAGTTACAATACTGCCAATTCTATTTCGTTTATTTCAATGTATTTCATATGTATTGGTTCTCACAAGATGACCTGGCAAACACTGGAATATCCACATTGTGGGCTATAGTAAAATGGCGTCCGATGTATTACTATGTCAGGAAGCTGAGCTACGAGAAAATGGCACTCGTCTCATTATTGCCGATTGTTACCTTGACATCAATTATGGAGTTAGTATAAACGAGCGGCAGAACAACCAATGGCCATCTACTGATGAAGTCACATGTTGTGACGTAACGCGTAGGATGATGTCGAGCCGCACAACCGGAAGTTTACGAGCACCAACTTTGTGAGTCACCGTGGAACGCTGGATGTGTTTTTCTGTGGAAGCTATTCAACTACAGTGTCCCACTTGGACAGGTTTTATGTGAGTGCACTCAATCTTCTTAATAAATATTAAGCAGTTCATAAAATAAATAACAGGTGATCCACTAGATGTAGCCGTATACCAGGAGAAGCTGTGTCAGGGACAAGTGATAAAAATGCGCACTCACCGGACGCGCTATAATCAAGCGCATGTAATCAATATCCACTCGGATCCCTTAGGAAGGCTTCCAGGTCCAGAGATCCCCTTAAGGCCTCCCCTCTGATGATGTGCATTGCACGAAAGGCCTTAGGAGGAGCCAACAGAGCGTGACGTCACAGCCGCCCGGAGCCACGAGGAGGCCCAGCGGCCATCTTTACTAAGGGGTCAGTACTACTCTGCATCTATCATTGATACATTGGGAGTGTTTACTACCCTGTTTTATACTGCATCTTTTTGAAATAAAGTCTTTAACCTTACTACACTATGGGCACCGTTTTTGGCTCCCATTGGAGCGAACTGATTTCCAGGGCATCTCACCATTAACCACCACCACCAGAGGGAGGGAGCTCTGTATCCAGTACATGCACCCATTCAGCCTTAAGGGCATCTCTGGACCTGGAAGCATTCACCGTATACCACTGAGACAGAATACCAGGATTACTTACTTCTAGATGGATGCTCACCTTCTCCACCTTCCTAAGGGATCCGAGTGTATATTGATTACATGCGCTTGATTATAGCGCATCCGGTGAGTGCGCATTTTTATCACTTGTTCCTGACACAGCTTCTCCTGGTATACGGCTACATCTAGTGGATCACCTGTTATTTATTTTATGAACTGCTTAATTATGCATGTTTAACATGTATGGGACATTTTATTATTTCATATATTATCACTTTCATTTTTTATTCATCAATTTTATCTAGCGTTGCACTTCTATTTAAGTTTTCATGTTTTAAGGTTTGCTGAGATTACCTTGAGTGCATTAGCTGCTGGTTTTGGAGCGCTCACTTTCTATTTATTTATCTTCTTAATAAATATTGGTTGATATAAGTGATACACTATGATGGGCATTTTTTCTGCATTTTCAGAGGATATGCTGGATAATAGATAGGAAGACCATTCTGGAGGAGAGTGTGGAGGAAAGTGGAGTAATAAAAGAATTATACCTATCCGGGTTAAAAGGGAAAAGCTCTGTTTGACCTAAATATCTATAAGTCAAATTAACGAGGTGAGAGTACATATGTGTGTGGTTGGAGGAGAAGCACAGAAGGGTGTTTGCACATGGCAGGAACATGGGCGTATTCAGTGGCATTCCGAGGCAGGTGTGGGGACCGCACCGGGTGACACCAACCGCACAGAGTGACAGCGGGCCCGCTTCACGAAAAGGTAAGTTGTAAAGCAAGCTGATGATCCTCGCAGGATGGATTCAATCCACCCTGCGTGGATCATAGGCTTTCTTTACAACTTGCCTTTTCTTGAAGCGGGCCGGTGTCACCCCGTATAGGTTGCATGCCGGCGATCTCCGCATCCTGCGGGGATTGTCGGCATGCAACCTATACCGGGTGACACCGGAGCCACTCCAAGAAAAGGTAAGTTGTAAAGAAAGCTGACCATCCCCACAGGATGGATCGGATCTGCGGATTGAGCATAATGAATCGGAGTCCGATCCGTTATGCTCAATCCGCAGATTCGATCCATTCTGCGGGGATCGTCGGAGGGGGTGTCACCAAGTGTTACCGCACTGGGTGACACCAACCCTAGGGATGCCTTTGGGCGTATTTATCACAAGGCATTTGCCTAGGGCAGCATTTTTCAGGGGGGGCAGCAGCATTTTTCAGGGGGGCAGCGTCCCCCCCCGTAAGAAGGGACACACACAGCATGGGGACCAGGTGGGATCAGAGAGAGGCTGCGGGCTGCTTGATGGTGTATGCGGAGCCTGACTCTTGTTCCCGGGGATGTCCGGAGCTGTGAAGGTGAGTGTCTTCTCTCTCTCTGGGGTGGGGATGTGGGGGTTGTCAGTGTATGGGGAGGCAGTGGTAGTGGAAGGGTCTCTTGGGTGGGGGCTGGGGTGTTGTTGGTCAATGTCAGGTTCTCTTCGTGGGGAAGGGGAGTGTTGGTCGGTGTCAGGGTCTCTCAGTGGGGGGGGGGGGGGGCTGGCATTTTTGTGTTGCCTAGGGCAGCACGAAACCTACATACACCACTGGGCAGGAAGGTGCACAAATATTTACAAGAATTGAGCAACTCTATATAGAAGAAACAATCTAATATAATCTATCATATAAGGAATCTCTTTGTTATATGGGATCTTTATGTCACAAATTATTTATGTGATATGTAATATATTTATGTATGCACTGTGATGTTTACATGTACTTTACAAGAAATTATCTGGGTAATTGCACAGGCACTTTATTATGAAGATTGAACATATGGTATAAAATGCTTTTTTTTATATTGCACGGCACTTATCTATAGAGTATTTACTGTTTACATATGATGGAACGCATGTAGTGTCGGCAGTAAGAACATATTGGAGGCAGGGGCGGACTGACAACTCATGGGGCCCCCAGGCAATAGGGGATCATGGGGTCCCTGTACCCTTGCCCAAACTCAAAAAAGCCTATGGAAAAGGTACCAGGGGAATCTCATGGGGCCCCGTACTGACCCCGGCCCCTCGGGCAGTGCCCAAGTTTCCAAATGGTCAGTCCGCCTGAAGTCCCGATCATGTGATCACTGATTGATCAGTGATCAATGCGGGGTCCGGGGAGAGCGCATATAGTGAATGCAGGGTCCGGGGAGAGCAGATATAGTGAATGCAGGGTCCAGGGAGAGTGGATATAGTGAATGCAGGGTCCAGGGAGAGCGGATATAGTGAATGCGGGGTCCGGGGAGACCAGATATACTGAATGCAGGGTCCGGGGAGACCAGATATAGTGAATGCAGGGTCCGGGGAGACCAGATATAGTGAATGCAGGGTCCAGGGAGAGCAGATATAGTGAATGCAGGGTCTGGGGAGACCGGATATAGTGAATGCAGGGTCCGGGGAGACCAGATATAGTGAATACAGGGTACAGGGAGACTGAATATAGTGAATGCAGGGTCCAGGGAGAGCGGATATAGTGAATGCAGGAACCGGGGAGAGCGGATATAGGGAATGCAGGGTCCAGGGAGAGCGGATATAGTGAAAGCAGAGTCCTGGGAGACTGGATACAGTGAATGCAGGGTCCTGGGAGAGCGGATATAGTGAATGCAGGGTTTAGGGAGAGCAGATATAGTGAATGCAGGGTCTGGGGAGACCGGATATAGTGAATGTGGGGTACAGGGAGACCGAATATAGTGAATGCAGGGTCCGGGGAGACCAGATATAGTGAATGCAGGGTCCGGGGAGACCAGATATAGTGAATGCGGAGTTCGGGGAGACCAGATATAGTGAATGCAGGGTCCGGGGAGAGCGGATATAGTGAATGCAGGGTACAGGGAGACCAGATATAGTAAATTCAGGGTACAGGGAGACTGGATATAGTGAATGCAGGGTACAGGGAGACCAGATATAGTGAATGCAGGGTCCAGGGTTCAGTATCACTTTAACTTTACAATCAGTTTACCATATTTGCAGCCTGAGAAGTTTATATAAAGTGCTAAAATTAAAGATAATAGCAACATTATAGAATTAGCAAGTGGTACAGCCAACTGCGGAAAATGAACGTCGGGATTAATTTTATTTATATGTTATGATCTCCTGTGGCATCGTACAAAGTAATAATGGAAATTAGACCACTAATTGCAAAAATTCTTAATTTTGACCAGACTGTAGCATCGCTCTCTCTAAGTTTGTTCTGTTATCGGCTAAGAAAATTCAAGCAGAAGTCTTCTGAGGGGACCTGCTTGCTCCATCATCCCTATTAGTTGGCCCTTTGCCATCCAGTGCACCCTCGTCCCTTCCCATCTCCTCTTGATTTATCAGCTTTACTTTAGTTGATGACAGGTTTCGTACAATCAAGCGGTTCCTACCACGGCTGTGTAAAAGCACAGAACTCTAACTGCTATTGTAAAACAGTTCTGCGACTATCAAAGCTTTTCGAGCCTTAACTGTGGGACACGTCTTGGCAAACCTTCCGCATTCACAGTCCCCTTTTACAAAGCTCCAGCCGCCCTTGTCTCAGCGGTGTCCATCACCACCGGCCAATGTCAGATCTTCTCCAAACACGAAAACTGTTTTTCTTCCCTCTCGACAAGCTGCGTGAACGCCTCTCTCTTCATCATGCCATGGCTCCAAACATTTCAAACTGTGACACTTTAATTACTGCCAGCCTAAAAAGGTTCCATATAAAAAGAGCTGTCATTAAATTCCAAAAATGGAGGAAACTTTAGATGTCCAAGGTTTTTATTTTTTTTTGTGCTTTACTGCAAATAGTGTATCTCATATTTTTTTTTTTTTTGCAATTTTGTTTTTCTTTAGTTGAGCTTTTTTTAACATATTTGAGCTGTCAAACCAGAATTTTTAATTTTCCAGGTATATAAAAAAGGGATGCTAGCGTAGCTGTACTACATGTAGTAGTAAGTGGCAAGTGCCCCTGGTACCTTTTTCATAGGCTTTTTTGAGTTTGGGCAAGGACACAGGGGCCCCCTGTTGCCCGAGGGCCTCATGAGTTGTCAATCTGCCCCTGGACTGATGTGAATGTTACTGTTACTGATAGGTAGTGATGAGCTGAACACCTCCCCCCCCGTTCGATTCGCGGTAGACCATTAGAACCTACCGACAGTTCAACCGCGAACTTCAAACACGATACCGTAAGATACCGTTCAGTTACTAAACAGCATAAGTTGTGATTATTAAGGACAGCACAGTGTCTAAATGTAGATTATAGAAATGTGATATCCAACACAGGGTGATTGCTGTGAGGATATGTACAATGCTCCCAAGGGCCACGTCCTATTCAAACTATTGGAAAAGAAAAAAGGCCATTTGGTGGACTTTATAGGCACTACAACAGTGATAAATAAAATGATTGCTTTATTAAACATACATGAATGTACACCAATGATCAAAATCTTCTGCAGAGAACAGGGGCGGACTGACAACTCATGGGGCCCCCGGGCAATAGGGGATCATGGGGCCCCTGTGTCCTTGCCCAAACTCAAAAAAGCCTATGAAAAAGGTACCAGGGGCATCTCATGGGGCCTCCTACTGACTCCGGGCCCTCGGGCAGTGCCTGAGTTTCCAAAAGGTCAGTCCGCCCCTGCTACATTTATACACTTATCCCAGTGTTTAACTAATCCCTGGAAAGCTTCGGCATAGAAAGGCTTGTCAGTACACCTGAACCATCCTAGGACAGCCGGCTTTACTTACTAATCATTGTGTTCACCGTTCCCTCAGAAAGATTGGTCTCTTGTGCAGGGGTGGACTGACAACTCATGGGGCCCCCGGCAATAGGGGATCATGGGGCCCCTGTGTCCTTGCCCAAACTCAAAAAAGCCTATGAAAAAGGTACCAGGGGAATCTCATGGGGCCCCCTACTGACCCCGGGCCCTCGGGCACTGCCCGAGTTTCCAAATGGTCAGGCCGCCCATGGTCTCCCATATCCAAGATGGAAACACTGAGGACCCAAAGTGGTAAGAAGAAATGGCTGGAGGAAGACATTGCTGGATCCATTGGTAAGTCCCAGATTATTGAGTTTCCATTCACACTTGAGCGTAGCGGGAATGGGAGCTCCTGCTCAAGTTTTTTTTTACACTTTTTTTGTGCATTAACGCTCATCATGCATAGGGCAGCCCATTCTTTTGACCACCTTATGAGTGGGAAGGACTGGCTGATCACGTGACCACTGTGAGTAGTTGTCACAGCGGTCACATGATTGGGGGTCAGTTCTGGTTCTTGATCATTACTTGAGATCAGAAGTTCTCTATGACAGTTTGGTCACTGTGCTGCAGAGAAATCTCAGCCACCCAAGGAAACATATGTGGGGCATGTGGTCCTTAAAGTGCATGCTCTTTGCCACTGCACATATGAGTTACGTGGGCAGCAAGAGGTTAAAATGGTTGCAAGGGTCAAAGGTTTTTGACTCTGGGGCCCCCAGCCAATAGGGGATCAAGGGGCCCCTGTGTCCTTGCCCAAACTCAAAAAAGCCTATGAAAAAGGGTACCAGGGGCATCTCATGGGCCCCCCTACTGACCCCCAGCCCTCAGGCAGTGCCCGAGTTTCCAAATGGTCAGTCCGCCCCTGCTCTTGTGCAATATCATGACAGGTTATATGTCGATTATCCAGGATCAGGCGTTCCACACACTGAATGTTTACAATGATTGCTGTGGGCTGGGAACCACCACGTCCGGGATCATCACTGATGGACATACAGCCATCTTTGAAATGGTTCCACCAATCAAATGTCTTACTGCCGCTGAACGTCTCATCACCGTACTGTGCTTGAAGTCTTCTGTAGATATACGTGATATTTACGCCTTCATTCACAAGAAACTTCCTCTGCCGTCTTGTCAATTTTCAAATAAAATATTTTGGATGTTTCCTCATTTTAAACCCTGGGGATGATTGCCCCTAGGACAAATAGGGAATAAAATCTGACAGCCGGTGTAACCCTTCCCAACTCCATCCAAAATGTAAAAAAACAGTGACAGCCGGGTGCCCACTACGCATGTGTGAGAAGCGATGCACATGACAGGTCCCAGAAGACGCCGGGTCATTCACAAAACGCAGCGCTTCTCGCACATGTGCAGTGGGCACCCGACTGTCAGCCGTGTGCTCACACTAAAGGGTGGACAACTCCGCGGAAGTGGGAGCAGATACCTGTCAAATTCAGGTACCCGCTCCCCCTCCCTCCCCAAAGGTTCACAGTCTCTGGTCATCTCCTTACTGTCTGCAGTCTCTGGTCATCTCCTGTACTGTATCCGCAGTCTCTGGTCATCCCTGTGCTGTGTCCGCAGTCTCTGGTCATCTCCTGTACTGTGTCCGCAGTCTCTGGTCATCCCCTGTACTGTGTCCGCAGTCTCTGGTCATCCCCTGTACTGTGTCCGCAGTCTCTGGTCATCTCCTGTACTATGTCCGCAGTCTCTGGTCATCTCCTGTACTATGTCCGCAGTCTCTGGTCATCTCCTGTACTGTCCACAGTCTCTGGTCATCTCTTGTACTGTCCACAGTCTCTGGTCATCTCCTGTATTATGTCCGCAGTCTCTGGTCCCGCATCTCCTGTACTATGTCTGCAGTCTCTGGTCATCTCCTGTACTATGTCCGCAGTCTCTGGTCATCTCCTGTACTATGTCCGCAGTCTCTGGTCATCTCCTGTACTGTGTCCCACAGTCTCTGGTCATCTCCTGTACTATGTCCGCAGTCTCTGGTCATCTCCTGTACTGTGTCCGCAGTCTATGGTCATCCCCTGTACTGTGTCCGCAGTCTCTGGTCATCCCCTGTACTGTGTCCACAGTCTCTGGTCATCCCTGGTCTGTACTGTCCGCAGTCTCTGGTCATCTCCTGTACTGTGTCCGCAGTCTCTGGTCATCTCCTGTACTGTGTCCGCAGTCTCTGGTCATCTCCTTTACTGTGTCCGCAGTCTCTGGTCATCTCCTGTACTGTGTCCGCAGTCTCTGGTCATCTCCTATACTGTGTCCGCAGTCTCTGGTCATCTCCTGTACTGTGTCCGCAGTCTCTGGTCATCTCCTGTACTGTGTCCGCAGTCTCTGGTCATCTCCTGTACTGTGTCCGCAGTCTCTGGTCATCTCCTGTACTGTGTCCGCAGTCTCTGGTCATCTCCTGTACTGTGTCCGCAGTCTCTGGTCATCTCCTGTACTGTGTCCGCAGTCTCTGGTCATCTCCTGTACTGTGTCCGCAGTCTCTGGTCATCTCCTGTACTGTGTCCGCAGTCTCTGGTCATCTCCTGTACTGTGTCCGCATTCTCTGGTCATCTCCTTTACTGTGTCCGCAGTCGCTGGTCATCTCCTGTACTGTGTCCGCAGTCTCTGGTCATCTCCTGTACTGTGTCCGCAGTCTCTGGTCATCTCCTGTACTGTGTCCGCAGTCTCTGGTCATCTCCTTTACTGTGTCCGCAGTCTCTGGTCATCTCCTGTACTATGTGTCCGCAGTCTCTGGTCATCCCCTGTACTGTGTCCGCAGTCTCTGGTCATCTCCTGTACTATGTCCGCAGTCTCTGGTCATCTCCTGTACTGTGTCCGCAGTCTCTGGTCATCTCCTGTACTATGTCCGCAGTCTCTGGTCATCCCCTGTACTGTGTCCGCAGTCTCTGGTCATCTCCTGTACTATGTCCGCAGTCTCTGGTCATCTCCTGTACTATGTCCGCAGTCTCTGGTGATCTCCTGTACTGTCCGCAGTCTCTGGTCATCTCCTGTACTATGTCTGCAGTCCATTGGTTCAGAATATTTTTTTTCTTGTGTTTTTCACCTCTAAAACCGAGGCGCGTCTTATGGAGTGAAAAATACGGTATATATTTTTCAGCACACTGTGACCAAAGCAGTACAATGTTGCCATAGTAAGATTGAACTACTCTGGACAAGGGATCAGAATTTTTGTTTTTTAACACATTATGATTGCTAATACCGATGTATTTCATTGATATTTGCAATCATTGTTACTGAATGAAACTGATTCATTCAGTCTTTTGTTGTGATTAGCTGTGATTGGGCAAAGCTGATCACATGATACAGATGGGCTGTGATTGGCCCTGTCTGCATGATGTGATTGCCTTGACCAGTCACAGCTAACAACATAAGTGTATACAATGGATGGCATGACAGGAAGCCATCCATTGTATACAATTGACATGTGATCTGCTGTGATTGGTCACAGCGGTCACATGACACTGGCAATGGGCCGGAGTAATGATATGTCATTGGCTGTGTCCCAGGGACACAACCGGTGACAGATCACACCACTATGTGGTCCCGCGACTGTGTGAGCATCTCGTTTTGACAGGACATCATATGATGCCCAGTCACTACGAGGAGTGTCCCGCCCAGCCATCAATCTGCTATAGGCCGGGCGGGAAGGTGTTAAAATGGAGCTCCACCTAAAAGGGGAAGCTCTACTTGTTTACACCCCTCCCCCCCCCCTTCTCCATTGCCACATTTCACCCTTTTTTGGGGGAAGCTGGTAACTGTCAAAATCAGGCACCTGCTCCCACTTCTAGCTCAGTTCGCTGTGTCAAACTGAGTTGGAAGTTTGGCTCCTCTCCTTCCCTCCGCACTCTTCTGGGACCAATCACAGGTCCCAGAATACCACAGGACCAATCACAGGTCCCGGAAGACTACAGGACCAATCACAGGTCCCGGAAGACTACAGGACCAATCACAGGTCCTGGAAGACCACAGGACCAATCACAGGTCCCAGAAGACCACAGGACCAATCACAGGTCCCGGAAGAACACAGGACCAATCACAGATCCCAGAAGACTACAGGACCAATTGTAAAAAAAAAAAAAGAATTGTAGAAACATTTGAAAAAAATAAAAATTCAATTATTATTATTATTATTTTCACCAAAGAAATGTAGCAGAATACATTTTGACCTAAATTTATGAAGAAATGTTATTCATTTGCAAAATTTTATAACAGAAATGAAGAAAAGTGTGTTTTCTTTCCAAAAGTTTCAGGTGTTTTTTGTTTTATTTAGCAAAAAAAAATAAAAAAACTCAGTGGTGATTAAATATTTTTCAAATATTTGTTATTTTTTTATTACATTTTTTCTTTTTTTTACTACGTTAATTTTCAGCACACTGTGACCAAAGCAATACAATGTTACTATAGTAACATTGAAGTACTCTGGACAAGTGATCAGAATTTTTTTTTTTCTAACACATTATGATTGCTAATACCATAATTGCCACATTTCACCCTTTTTTGGGGGAAGCTGGTAACTGTCAAAATCAGGCACCTGCTCCCACTTTCTAGCTCAGTTCGCTGTGTCAAACTGAGCTGGAAGTTTGGCTCCTCTCCTTCCCTCCGCACTCTTCTGGGACCAATCACAGGTCCCGGAAGACCACAGGACCAATCACAGGTCCCAGAAGACCACAGGACCAATCACAGGTCCCGAAAGACCACAGGACCAATCACAGGTCCCGAAAGACCACAGGACCAATCGCAGGTCCCGGAAGACCACAGGACCAATCGCAGGTCCCGGAAGACCACAGGACCAATCGCAGGTCCCGGAAGACCACAGGACCAATCGCAGGTCCCGGAAGACCACAGGACCAATCGCAGGTCCCGGAAGACCACAGGACCAATCGCAGGTCCCGGAAGACCACAGGACCAATCGCAGGTCCCGGAAGACCACAGGACCAATCGCAGGTCCCGGAAGACCACAGGACCAATCACAGGTCCCGGAAGACCACAGGACCAATCGCAGGTCCCGGAAGACTACAGGACCAATCACAGGTCCCGGAAGACTACAGGACCAATTGTAAAAAAAAAAAAAAAAAAGAATTGTAGAAACATTTGAAAAAAATACAAATTTAATTATTATTATTATTATTTTCACCAAAGAAATGTAGCAGAATACATTTTGACCTTAATTTATTAAGAAATGTTATTCATTTGCAAAATTTTATAACAGAAATGAAGAAAAGTGCGTTTTTTTTCCCAAAAGTTTCAGTTTTTTTTTGTTTTATTTAGCAAAAAATAAAAAAACTCAGTGGTGATTAAATATTTTTCAAATATTTGTTATTTTTTTATTACATTTTTTCTTTTTTTTACTATGTTATTTTTCAGCACACTGTGACCAAAGCAATACAATGTTACTATAGTAACATTGAAGTACTCTGGACAAGTGATCAGAATTTTTTTTTTCTAACACATTATGATTGCTAATACCATAATTGCCACATTTCACCCTTTTTTGGGGGAAGCTGGTAACTGTCAAAATCAGGCACCTGCTCCCACTTCTAGCTCAGTTCGCTGTGTCAAACTGAGCTGGAAGTTTGGCTCCTCTCCTTCCCTCCGCACTCTTCTGGGACCAATCACAGGTCCCGGAAGACCACAGGACCAATCACAGGTCCCGGAAGACCACAGGACCAATCACAGGTCCCGCAAGACTACAGGACCAATCACAGGTCCCGGAAGACTACAGGACCAATCACAGGTCCCGGAAGACCACAGGACCAATCACAGGTCCCGGAAGACCACAGGACCAATCACAGGTCCCGGAAGACCACAGGACCAATCGCAGGTCCCGGAAGACCACAGGACCAATCGCAGGTCCCGGAAGACCACAGGACCAATCACAGGTCCCGGAAGACCACAGGACCAATCACAGGTCCCGGAAGACCACAGGACCAATCACAGGTCCCGGAAGACCACAGGACCAATCATAGGTCCCGGAAGACCACAGGTCCCGGAAGACCACAGGACCAATCGCAGGTCCCGGAAGACCACAGGACCAATCGCAGGTCCCGAAGACCACAGGACCAATCGCAGGCCCCGGCAGACCACAGGACCAATCGCAGGTCCTGGAAGATCACAGGACCAATCACAGGTCCCGGAAGACTACAGGACCAATTGTAAAAAAACAAAACAAAAAAGAATTGTAGAAACATTTGAAAAAAATACAAATTTAATTATTATTATTATTATTTTCACCAAAGAAATGTAGCAGAATACATTTTGACCTAAATGTATGAAGAAATGTTATTCATTTGCAAAATTTTTATAACAGAAATGAAGAAAAGTGCGTTTTTTTTTCCAAAAGTTTCAGGGTTTTTTTTTTTTATTTAGCAAAAAATAAAAAAACTCAGTGGTGATTAAATATAAGTAGATAAGGTGGTGTAGCGCTACGCCACCTTATCTATTTATGTTTCATCCATTCTAGTCAGGTGTCAGCAGCTTCTTCGTTTTTATGTCTTTGGCCACTCCCCTTTATTTAGTGGTGATTAAATACCACCAAAAGAAATCTCTATTTGTGTGAAAAAAAATGCTAAAAATGTCATATGGGTACAGTGTTGCATGACCGCACAATTGCCATTCAAAGTGCGACAGCTGAAAGCTGAAAAATTTTGCCTGGGCAGGAAGGGGGTATAAGTGTCCGGTATTGAAGGGGTTAAATACCACCAAGAGAAAGCTCTATTTGTGTGATAACAATGAAAAAAGTTTTTCATTTGGTTACAGTGTTGCATGACTGAGTAATTGTCATTCAAAGTGCGACAGCCCTGAAAGCTGAAAATTGTACCCGTATCTGTATCATGTGATCAGCTTTGCCCAATCACAGCTAATCACAAACAAAAGACTGAATGAATCAGTTTCCTTCAGTAACAATGATTGCAAATATCAATGAAATACATCAC